CATGCCCAAAACCGTCAGGATAAATTTTCGGAACTTATCACGCATCTGCGCGAAGGCCGATCCATGGGCAATACCTACCTGCAATCTTTTGCACGGCATGGTATCGAGGATTTCGACTACACTGGTTATATTTATACTATGCCAGTTGGAAGTCGAATCCCCACTCTCCAGGAGCACTACGTCGACGCCCAGGATCAGACGCCACTTCCGATTTGGCGACCTGAGGCCTATTTCAAGTACCCTGACGGCGGTGAACTTGAGACAGAGGAGATTCTCCGTTTATTGGAACTCTTCAGATCGTGCCTTCTAGGTAAAAGAGCAGTCCTCGGTGTTACCAAGCGCACTAAGGAAAACGTTCATGAATTCCAGAAGGACACGTATCAGCTTGGCATTTTGACGTTGAAGCTTGGTCACATCAACCGTGTTCCGTATATCGGAGGTTGTTCAAAATTTCCAAAATGGGTCAGAACTGATATTAACCATCGTGCCTTGCCACATCTAGTGTTCCGAAATGCGGCCCATATTGTGTGCTTGTGTGAAGCTTCCGACGAATACGGAGGAATTGCCTTTCATCGAGAACTTGCCGAAGAGTATGGGATGATCGGCATGGTAGTTCACCCAGCAATTCAATCGCAGTCCGTTGCAATTTTTCTCCGTGGCTCACATGATGCCGGCTCATTTATTGAACTTTTATGTCATCACCAGATTGAGACAGGTAATAAAAGCAGCCCTTTTTGGATCTTGCACGGCGCCATTTTTCGCCTGTGCCATGGCATGAATACCTCTGGAGAATTCGTTGACCCTTCGACAGGTGCGCGTGTTCCGAAACCGGACATTGAGAAAAATGCCGAGTCTGCGGTTTATCAACATGATCGCCCACTTGCAACGACGCTGGACTTTCTTGATCACTCGATCTGTGAGATCGACGGAGACGATGATCTTGCCGTTTCCGGCGTTGATGTCTGCGATGTGAATCTTGGTGCTGACACCCACGACGTACGACGTCTTATGTTAGCTGAATGCCGTGTAGCGGTTTTTCATATTTCGTCATATGCATGGAGTGGTGCTTATCAAGAGACGTGCCAGAAATGGCTTCAATTTGTCGCAAGCTGTGTTGAGCACCAGTGTGACTTTTTGTCAGGAGACGGCAACCTTTTCGCACAGCGAAGTTTCAAGTCCGATGAACATTCCGATTACCGGACATGCATCATGATCGACATCCTTGAACGCTTTTTCCAACAGATCAACCTTCACCGCAGTCCAATCAACCGTATTACGTATAACGTAGTTTCATCGATCACTGCCGCTGATTACATCCGAAGCATGCATGGAGAAGATTCTGATTGTGATTCAATGCTTTTAATTTCTCTTTGTTACGGTAAGCAGATCGCTGTCACGGAAGCACGTGCCAAAGAAGATTCCGCCTCCGCGGATGGATTCGCAGGATCAGCTTTTTCCGACGAAGTTATACTGAATGATGTTGAGCAGTTAAAGCATTTCATGTCATATGATCTTGGTTTGGCTGAGAAGGACTGTGCATGGCACTCACCTCTCCTTACATATGCCCAATTGAAATCATTGAAAAATATTTGCATCCGATCCAAGGAATCAGAAGATAAAAGACGTGAGAAATGGATGCATCGAACACAAGGTTACCTCGAAAGACGAGAAGAGAGGAAAGACAGCGTTCCGCCTCTGCGGAAAGACTCATTCCGGGGAGTTGGACAGACTAGATCAAGATCAGTCAGCAGGACCAGGAGCAATCGACCAAAGGCAGATACACCAAAGCCACCTCCTGCGCCTGCAAGAGCACCTGTAACTCCATCAAGAGGTCCAACTGCAAATCCTAAACCAGTTCAATATAAGGCAGCCCCGGTGTCTCTCAAACAATCCTCAGCACCAAAATCCTCAGGATCCTCATCAAGTGTTCGACCACCTGTTAAGGCACCACCGGTTCCACCGCCTGGAAGGTCATCCGGATCAACACGACAACCGAGCACTCCACCTGATCCACCAGGTCCGCCTAAGACTCCACCGCCGTGGAGAGAAAGATCACAGCAGGAAGAACAGAGGCACACCACCAGAAAAAGACCAATCACTGTGCCTGAGCCTCCTGCACCTCCATCCCGTATGACGGGTACGCAATGGCTAGATCAAGGAACAGCTTCCAGCTCTTCTGGATACCGTAATTACGGCTACTATGATCAACCAGCCTATTACAGAGTGAATCCTCGTACCTCTAATGTCGAATACGTCCCAGGTTACCAAGTACCTAGACAGCGTTGGATTCAGAAACACGACGGATCGTGGCTTGACCTTATTCCGAAAACACCGGATCAGTCCATATTCTATCATCAGTCCGGTGAGCTCAGAAGGAGGAACGAACTGGATTTCTACGGTTACTATTTCACTATGGGCTTGTAGCCCCAAAAATTTGCAATGTTCCGCATTTGCGGTCGCTTGCCAACAGCCGAGAACAACCGCTTGCCAACAGCGGAGAGTAGCTTCTTGTACAGTTTTGTTTTTGTCTTCGGACCGTCTCACAGCAGATCACAGGCTGAGCGCTTCCTGTGAAACAGACTTGCATGTTCCGACACGAAGAAAATTTGTGTCTGTTTGTGATTTATTTTTGTTTTACGTGTCTGCACAATGCTTTCATGCTTGTTGACATGTACACTTAATTCATCTCTTTCATGCGCACTCCGCATGGCTCAAGACTAGCAGCAAACCGCGTGTACAAAAGTGCAGCAGCCCTTGTTGACCGCAGGTGTTTAGATTAGTTGTCCAGGGCTCCCTTAAAGGGGAAAGCTACCTCACCCCTCCCCTTCCCCCCAAGTATGTAAAAAGCAGAAGGAAAAAGACTGGAGAAAGAACAAAACAAGAAGAGAACCACCAACCGAATAGCAAAACCATCAGCATCCAAACAAACAAACCAGAATGAAAAAAACATGATCATTTTTTAGATGAAAAAAATGAAAATGAAATGGAAAAATGAACACACAAATGATGATTAAATGCAAAAATAATAAAACTGAAATTTCCAGACTTTGGCTGCCAGAAATTCTCTTAATGTTACAAGTTGTTTACGAAATGAATTATCAAATTCCATCTCATTGTCATGAATAAGTAGTCGCACAGGTACATTGGCAAGTGGAAAATCTGAGTTTCGGAACTGCAGAAGAAGCTTGAGTTGGTGCTGAGCTCTTGACCGAAAAGGTTCCGACAGGTTTCGACTCAATCTACATAACAAAAATATGTAGTCATGATCAACTTGAAAAGATTTCAATAAAGGCGAAATTCAAAATTCATCAAAGTATCAGATCCCCAAATATAGAGAAATTTCCCATTGTGATTGATCAGTGACACCTCCAGGAACTGATCAGCAACTGAACTAATCTAACCTAAGGAGCCTACCTGAAAAATGAATACCTGGCCTGAAAAGAACCTGATGACAATGACAAGTGATGTGAGAAACAAAACATTAGCCATTGAGACTCCGACCAAATAGAACGTTCGCTGCGCTCGTAGTGTTTGTAACTTCGACTTATGTCTTCTTTGTCCGAATTGGACGAACTTCTGCCTTATGGCTTCTTCGCCTTATGGCTGCTTCGATTTGATTTTACTGAGTAAAACCTTGACTTCATCTTATGACACTTGAAATGCACTCTGAGTGCATGCGGCTTCGGAGGTTCATTCTCCACTCTGAATACGGGAAAATGCCCGCTCATGACTTTCTGATTGGTCGAAACCAACCGACGGTGTGACCAAGTCAGGTCCAACACCCATGACACACTGTGGGGTAATGGTTAGTGGAAATTGTGAATGATGTCACCGTCGTCGCCTAATGTCCTGAGTTACCTGTCATCGCAAGCAGGTTGAGAACGTCACATTCGAAGCGGCGGCGGTGACTTCTGGAAAATCAAAATTTCAAACTGTCGAAAAGTACTTAAACAGCCTGAATAGAACAGTTTGTTCAACAGTTCAATACATTTCAATCGTGGGCAGGTACGTCACGGTGATCAGCCGTGATATCCGCATGTACTGTGGCCGCTTCGTTGGACCATCGCACGCAGCACATTGATGGTCCCCCTGCTTCATAAGAATCATACATGCGCGATAGACAGAACGAAACCGTTTGTTATAACGGTGTACACACACACACACTTGGATACACCCCGAAGGGAGAGGGTGAAATGAGATGAGATGAAGTCATGTAATGTCATGTTATTTTTTGTTAGCATGTCATGTCATGTTATGTCGGCATGGGTGGTTTATGGCTTAGCCACCTGGCCATGTCCGAAAGTGTAAGGTCGCAGGTACGTTTGCAGCTCTCATCATTGGTCTCTTCGTTGGCCATCCACCAATGATGAGAGGGATGTCCCCCTGCTTGCACCCTTTGAAGAACTAGTTTTGTTTTGTCTTCAACCATCTTTAATATGATTTTTTAGTCATACATTTGATGGACATCTCGTCAGTATGTATGAGGGTTTTGGCTTAGAGGCATGTGTCAACTGACACTTAGATGAAGATACTCAGCATCTTGCAATGTCTAAAAAAGCGCACGCTCACAGTCCCCAGCTCTCTTATTGAACACCTTATATGACAACCCCTTATGTTTAGTACTATTGGATGGCAGATTAAGTACATGATTGCAGAGCAAAAGTGGTGAAGCAGCGATGTGGTCATGATAATGGTTGTGGTTGTTTGAGCGTAGTAGAGTCGTGAAATGCTGAATATGGGATCTTGCAGCGGGTGTAACAATGACTTGAGGCCAGCGTTGTGTTCTGTGGCAGCATCAAAACGTTCACTAGTTGACAAAATACAGGACTCTCATTCTATCTGGGATTTAACCAGTGGAGATGCGACATGCATCCACATGCGTTAAAATGATAGAACTGGCAGGAGGAATGTGTATAAGAATGGTGTCCCATATTTCATAAATATTCAAATGCATTTATTTTCGGCCACATCCAAACCGTGCCAACGACCTGCAAACTGAGGATTTCTACTGCAGGTCCCTGCAAGGTTGTGGCGATCAGACAAACCCACCAAATGATGATGAATATTGGCAGTGGACTACAAGTGGCAAGCATTGCATCAGGTGCCAGAGCACAGACCCTGGATTGGATCAAGGTCAGGTTTGAAACCGGGGCAAAGAGGGCAGTTGTTCTGGTTAAAAACAGGGGACTGTGGGAGCGGAATGTTCCACAAATGATATAGTTATAACAATTCATGCTCGTTAGTCGCAAGATGTCGCAAGCCGTATGACTTAACTTGTGAAGCTACATTAAACACAAACCCAGAAACCAAAGAAAAACAACCTGGCATCCACAAACCCGAATGCAGTTTTTAAATGAATGTATCAACATGTAGACGTGAAAGACAAACACTGTCACACACACAATCACACACACACACTACATGTCACACGCTACATTTCACAAGTTTGCACTCCATACTCGACATCACTCCACTCCACACTCTCCACGCCCCCTCTCTTCATTCTCCTCTCTCCACCTGTTGCGTCGTTTCCTCTCTGCCTAGGTGTCCGACCACTTCGTTTGCACACAGTAATAGGACTACTGGGGAGCTGCGTGGGCGACGCCTCGTCTGGACCCCCCCAAAGCCCCTCGTCTGGACCCCCCCTCTCGCCCCCTCTCGCCCCCCTCTCGCCTCCCGGCATCCTCGGCCGCTTCCCCTCCCCCTCTCGCCGCACCCCTCTCGCGTCGCCCCCCCTGTCCGCCCCCCAGTCCCTCTCACCCCCTCTCGCGCCCCCTCGCGCCCGCCCTCTCGCGCCCCTCTTCGCCCCCTCCGGTCGGCCGCGCCCACCTCTCGCTCCCCTTCTGCGCCCCTCTCTCGCCTCCCCTCCGCCACCCCCCCCTCTCGCCCCCTTCAGCCCCTTGCCTCCCCCTCTTTCCCCCCTCCTTCGCCCTCTCGCGCCCCCCTCCGTGCCCGTCTCCCCCTCTCGCCCCCTCCTCGCCCCCGTCTCCGCCTCCTCACTCGCCTCCTCGCCCCTCTCGGCCCTCCTCGCCCCCTTTCGCTCTCTTGCCCCCGCGTCTCATCCCTCTCGCCCCCCTCTCGCCTCCCTCTCCGCCTGCTCCTGTCACCCTCTCGCCCCCCTCTCGGCCCCTCCCATCGCCCCCTCTAGCCCCTCTGGCCCCCTCCTCGCACCCTCTTGCCGCCGTTTCGCCCTTCCTCTCGTCCGTTCTCTGCCCTTCTCTCCGCTCCCTGTCTCCCCCCCTCTCGCCCCCGTCTCGCCTCCCTCTCCTCCTCTTGCCTCTGCCTGCCCTCTCGCCCCGTCTTTTGTAGCCCTTTTTGACATCGGACGTCACTTTAGCGTAGCGGGCGTGGTCCTGCCCTCTCCTATCCACGGTCTCCGTCTCGCCCCCTCTCGCCCCCCGCGAATCCATCGATCCCGCTGGCTCCCGTGCACTTTTGTGTGGCATGCGTTGCACTCGGTGACATCCAGTCTGCGTTTGCATGTGGCGCACATGGCACCGGCCTGTCAGGTAGCGCGCTTGGGCGCAGTTGATGTCGCTGCCGCCGCTGCCCTGACGTCTACATTACTGTGGTTCACTGTGACAACTGACGTCACTCACTGTGTCGTGTGTCTGGCGTCCTCCTGCCCTCTTGTGTGGGCACCTCTCTCGCCTCGCTCGCCCCCCCTGTAGGCACTATCCCTCTCTCTGGCTCCCATTCACCTTTCTGCAACAGGCGGGGAGGTGACATCCACGGTGCTGCTGCGCCGCAGCCGTGGCACAGATGGAACTACGTCTTTCCCAGATATGGCACCTGGTGACATTTGGCTTTCTTTTCTGGTTCTGTTTGACATCTGACGTTACTTTAGCGCAGCGGGCGTGGTCCTGCCCTCTCCTATCCATGGCCTCTGTCTCGCCCCCTCTCGCCCCCCGAGAGTCCATCCCTCTGGCTCCCATGCACTTTTGTGTGGCATGCGTGGCACTCGGTGACATCCAGTCTGCGTTTGCGTGGCAGTTGTGGCGCACATGGCGCCGGGCGTTCTGGTGGCACGCTTGGGTGCTGTTGATGTCGCTCCCGCTGCGGCTCTGACGTCTACATTTCGACTGTGGTGCACCGTGACAAGTGACGTCACTCACTGTGTCGTGCGTCTGGCGTGGTCCTGCCCTCTTCTGTGGGAACCCCTCTCGCCCCCTCTCGCCCCCCTCTAGTCCCTGACTCTGGCTCCCATTGACCGTTGCTTCCCTCACACCCCTGTCGCCTCCTCTCGTCTCACACTTCCCACACCCGCTCGCACCCTGGTTCCCCCTTCTCCCCCCGTGCCCCTTCGCCCCCTTTGCGCCCTCCCCCAGCCATGTCTCCGTTCCCTTCCCTGTCAACGAAGTGCTATGTCAAGCGCAGCTTTTGAATTTGTCATTCATGTTGTTGGGCATTTCAGAATGGAAGACTTAGAAAGCCAGTAATTAGTAATTAGTGACATTGCACATGTTGAACGATCGTCAAACAACCCGCAGAGGGAGTATGCAAGATTTGATACCAATGAATGTAATGGTTCAAGGGGGGCTGATTGATTTGATACCAATGAATGTAATGGTTCAAGGGGGGCTGGTTGATTTGATAGCAATGAATGTAATTGTTCAAGGGGGGCTGGTTGATTTGATACCAATGAATGTAATGGTTCAAGGGGTGCTGGTTGATTTGATGCCAATGAATCTAATTGTGCCTCTCGCCCCCCTCTCGCCCCCTTCCACCTTCTCTCGCCCCCTCTCGCCCCCCGTCCATGTTAGAATTTGCTCTGACCCTCTGGCCCCCTCTCGCCCCCCTCTTCGCCTCCACCCACCCTCTCTCGCCCCCTCTCACCCCCCGATCCATACCAATGAATGTAATGGTTCAAGGGGGGCTGGTTGATTTGATACCAATGAATGTAATTGTTCAAGGGGGGCTGGTTGATTTGATAGCAATGAATGTAATTGTTCAAGGGGGGCTGGTTGATTTGATAGCAATGAATGTAATTGTTCAAGGGGAGCTGGTTGATTTGATGCCAATGAATGTAATTGTTCAAGGGGGGCTGGTTGATTTGATAGCAATGAATGTAATTGTTCAAGGGGGGCTGGTTGATTTGATAGCAATGAATGTAATTGTTCAAGGGGGGCTGGTTGATTTGATAGCAATGAATGTATTGGTTCAAGGGGGGCTGGTTGATTTGATACCAATGAATGTAATGGTTCAAGGGGGGCTGGTTGATTTGATACCAATGAATGTAATGGTTCAAGGGGGGCTGGTTGATTTGATAGCAATGTAATGAATGTAATTGTTCAATGGGGGCTGGTTGATTTGCTAGCAATGAATGTAATTGTGCCAGGGGGGCTGGTTGATTTGATAGCAATGAATGTAATTGTTCAAGGGGGGCTGGTTGATTTGATAGCAATGAATGTAATTGTTCAAGGGGGGCTGGTTGATTTGATAGCAATGAATGTAATGGTTCAAGGGGTGCTGGTTGATTTGATGCCAATGAATCTAATTGTGCCTCTCGCCCCCCTCTCGCCCCCTTCCACCCCCTCTCGCCCCCTCTTGCCCCCTCTCGCCCCCCGTCCATGTTAGAATTTGCTCTGACCCTCTGGCCCCCTCTCGCCCCCCTCTGCCCCCACCCACCCCCTCTCGCCCGCCTCTCGCCCCCGATTCCATTACCAAATGAATGTAAATGGTTAGGGGCTGGTTGATTTGATAGCAATGAATGTAATTGTTCAAGGGGGGCTGGTTGATTTGATAGCAATGAATGTAATTGTTCAAGGGGGGCTGGTTGATTTGATAGCAATGAATGTAATGGTTCAAGGGGTGCTGGTTGATTTGATAGCAATGAATGTAATGGTTCAAGGGGGGCTGGTTGATTTGATACCAATGAATGTAATTGTTCAAGGGGGGCTGGTTGATTTGATAGCAATGAATGTAATGGTTCAAGGGGGGCTGGTTGATTTGATACCAATGAATGTAATTGTTCAAGGGGGGCTGGTTGATTTGATACCAATGAATGTAATTGTTCAAGGGGGGCTGGTTGATTTGATACCAATGAGTAATTGTTCAAGGGGGGCTGGTTGACTTGATACCAATGAACGTAATTGTTCAAGGGGTGCTGGTTGATTTGATACCAATGAATGTAATTGTTCAAGGGGGGCTGGTTGATTTGATACCAATGAACGTAATTGTTCAAGGGGGCTGGTTGACTTGATACCAATGAACGTAATTGTTCAAGGGGTGCTGGTTGATTTGATACCAATGAATGTACTTGTTCAAGGGGGCTGGTTGATTTGTACCAATGAATGTAATGTCAAGGGGTAGGTTTGTTGAACCAATGATGTACTTGTTCAAGGGTTGCTGCGTTGATTTGATAGCCAAATAATCTAATTGTGCCTCTCGCCCCAACGTCTCGCCCCTGTACCACCCCCTCTGGCCCACCTCTCGCGCCCCTCTCGCCCCCCTATCCAAAAGCCCTCTACTTCGTTCCCCCTCTCGCCCCCTCTCGCCCCCTCCACCCCCTCTCGCCCCCTCTCGCCCCCTCTCGCCCCCCTTTCCAAAAGCCCCTCGTCTGGACCCCCCCTCTCGCCCCCTCTCGCCCCCTCTCGCCCCCTCTCGCCGCCCTCTCGCCCCCTTTCCAAAAGCCCCTCGTCTGGACCCCCCCTCTCGCCCCCTCTCGCCCCCTCTCGCCCCCTCTCGCCGCCCTCTCGCCCCCTAAAATGGGGGGGGTCCAGATGAGGGGCTTTGGGGGGGGTCTAAGTGAACCCCCGGCCGAGCTGCGTTGGGTTCACTTCGCTTTTGCCTCTTCCTGTTTGGCTCAAGATGGTGAGCTGTTGGCTCTGGTCTCACAGGGCCTCTGCAAAGCAAGGTTGTAGTGAGGACTTGAGGGGTAGCCGACCGACGCGACTAAGGTGATCTCTGGGCTGGTGTGAGGAAGTGGCGGGTGCATTGATGATGATGATGATGATGACGATGACGATGACGATGACGATGATGGTGATGATGATGATGGTTACATTGATGATGATCACATGGATGACGATTCCATTGGTTGATGATGATGATGATGATGACGACGACGACGGTGATGATGATGTTTGCATTGATGATGGTGATTTTGCTGATGATTTTGATGGTGAAGATCA